CCCCCCCCCCCCCCCCCCGTCTCGCGCTCCGTCCTTGTCGCTCCCACTCACGTGCTGCAGTCTCGTGTCGAACACGAAGGCGGCTGTGGCGGTGACGGACGGAGGGGAAAGGCGATAGCCACACCCTCCCGATGTCCCTACCGTTGCCGCGATCGCCACCGCGACGATCACGTGATACGGCCGGGTTCCCCTCTCATGCTCGCCGTCGCCGTCGTCCACGTAGCCGCGCTCCCTCTCATCTCATCTCTCGCTGGTGCCGCCCCTCACCCTTTCCTCTCAGGCGAAATTTCTCTCCCGCTTTTTCTCCGCCGTGAAACGCTCGCGACGCTCGTCCTTCGCGCCGTGGAGTGTTGCTGAGACGCCCAGAGCATCACAGTGTTGCCAAATCCGCGAGAGAGCTTTTCTACCGGACCGGAATTATATATACCCAGAATCACATTATTCGGGAGCGTCGTAAAGAGCGAGCGTCACGCTGAGACTCGTCGATCAGACTCGTTCTTTTGTTGGCCGGGAGCGAAATTCGGTCTCTCTCTCTCTCTGCCAGACTATGATCCGGTTTAATCGTAATTATATGGAAAGAGGAACGAGAGAATTAAACGTCTGGAATAAAGGGGCGGGACATGTTGCTTCATTATTTACTGCTTCTGCGGTGAATTATTGACAATGTGCACCTTGTGCCGCTGTACCTTTTTTGTAAACTCAATTTCTCTGATTTACGTCACAAGAGGAAAGTAATAGCGCTTGAGATTTTTCTTCGATTTTTGTCTCGATCTCGTTTTAAACTTTAAGTCATCACGATATCGAATTATGAATAAAAGAATCGTAATATGTAGTTTTTTGATTTTACAGATTTTACAGTGATAAAGAAAGAATGCAATACGAATAAATTTCCTTAATTTACAATTGATTCAAACGTTATACAATATATAGAGAGAATTCTTAATTAATGTTTAACTTCGTAATATACATATATACAATATATGCATATACATATATATGTATATCTTATATAGTAAATTTTATTTAGTTTGTGTGTATTTGAGTTTGAGATTTCAATATTACATTTATATCTTCTGGAACAAAAGATTAGACTTTAGTGGTCGAGTTATTCATGCAACAATCATCGACACAACATGTACAACTGATAGGCTATTTCTCATGCCCTCACCTTATCGCAGTTCCCATTTGTTTCCATTTCGCTAAATTGTCGGGGGGATACTCGCCATGGATAACCCATTCTACTCTTCTCTCTCTCTCCCTCTCTCGTTCCTTGACCAACTTGAGAAAAACGTATCGGCGGCGATCGATGCCACTATACGTTAGCTATCCGATAGAGGCAGTCGAACGTAAAGGAAACGAAATAAAGTAAGAGACATAAAGCAGAAGGCGAGAGAAAGAGAATCCGAAAATCCCACGGGTACACGTATATACCGCGAGAAACTCGTAGCGAGAAAGAGAAACGAGCTTGGTCGCCTCTTGGCGTGTACGAGACGATGTCGTCGCGAGCGGCTGAGGCAAGAGCAAAGTTTGTCCTCGTCGGCAGGGAGAAGATAGCGGTGCGAGACGGAAAAAGAGACAGAGAGAAGGAAAAAATCCACAGCCACCGAGCGGAAAACGCCGGGGTACGCGAAACGAAATAATCGCAAGATAGATAGAAAGCGACGACGCGGGCGAGAGAAAGAGAGAGGTGGTCATAATCGCGCAGACCGCGTCATAATCCGCGACGAAAAACATTTGACGAGCGCACCGGGCTGGTAAAGGGGCAACTCGTTTGGGCGTAGCTCGACCTGACACCGCCTACGTATCCCGAGCTCACCCCTCCGCCGACGCATCCGTACAAGGGTGGTGGAACAGTTCTCAACGTGAAATGCGCGGAATCGTGCCGGTACGGCGTGGGGAACGAGCGAGAAGAGGGGGTCCGCGAGACGAGGACGGAGACTCGCGCGGCATTCATCCCGCGACCACGATCAGAGCAAGACGAAAGACGGAACACATACAACGAGATGAGCTTTGCGCGCGCGCGCGCGCATGTCGATCCGGTGGCGTACATACGGCACATGAGAGTTTTTTTTCGGCGCGTACGCGATAGTCTTGTCGGTTGACGTGAAGATTGGGGCTGATGGGTTTTACGCGAACAAACTCTGCGCACATCCTTATGCCGCACCTATATCGCTCCCGGAAGCGCAGCCGGTGTGGACATCTCGCATGTGGACCGCGGATTCTGCCGGGCAATTACATCGAGTTCCACAGCAGCGTGACTTAGATCCCGCAGGATAATCGTGTCGCGCGCGATATCACGAAACGGTTAAAACCTATCGTATAAAGATTTTAGCTTTAAACGAAGAGAAAGAAAAAGAGAGAGAGAGAGATGAATATCAAAACGCAGTTGATTTTCTGATTCGGAGAACAGTGTGCATCAGTTCGATAAGAGTGAAGCATGAAATCTTATAATATATTTACAAAACTTGCCGCGTCTGTTTAAATTTGATTAAAAAATTCATTCTCTCATTGATTTTTATCATTAAATCGCTTCTAGTGTTAAAAATATTGGAAACGATAATCTAACATTGAATTATATTGTTTCGATCGTTGGTGAAATAACAATCGAGAAACAATTAATCGAGACACAAAAAGAAAAAAAATAAACTATTGTCTGCATTAAATAAATATCTTATACATGCACACATGTTTGATTGTAAAATTTTCATATGCCGAAGAAGTATACAATAAAAGTATAATATGTGGTTTTATGGAATTGTTTTGCAATAGAATAAAACACAGACTTTTTGTCTAGAGTTGCATAAACATGAGAGATGATCAATAAATACTTCTCCATTTAAAATAATTCTTGATAATAAAATGTAATTCAGAAAAATTTGTATTTGTAGTATTTGTGATTGTTATCTTGTTACCCATATATAGAGGTAAGATATATGCTCACGAGAAATGCTTTGCCATGTATGAAAAATATATCAAAATATACGATGAAAACTATCGCATAGAATTATCGCGTTTTAATAGGAATAAAAATATTACGCAGCGAGTTTTCGGAACCTAAGTCGTAA